GAGGGGAGGGTAGGCGAGGGGAGGGTAGGCGAGGGGAGGCGAGGGGAGACGAGGGTAAGACGGCTCGATGGGCAAATGGGTGGGTGCATGAATGTATCCATGTGCGCTGTGAAAGTCCAGTGTGCTGCGTGAATGATGAGGAGGAAGTGAGACGAAGCGGGTGGGTATTAGGTGGCGGACGACCCGTCGAGCCTGGGTAGCGCAGTTGGTTAGCGCGTCAGTCTCATAATCTGAAGGTCGCGAGTTCGAGCCTCGCCCCGGGCAGGTGCTCTTTTCAATCTCTCACTCACTCTCACACTCCCTCCCTCCCTCCCTCCCTCCCTCCTTCCCTTCCTAACTCGCTCACTCACTCTCACTCCACTTCCATTCGCTCTCTCACACACACCTCACCTTCACTTGCAACCGCATGAAGCCCCATCAGAGGAGATCAGTCGATGACGCCGACGTTTGCTGTCGAAGGTGGTAGTGTTGATGAGAGCGGTGAGATGATTAGCAATGAGTGGAGGAGGCGCCAATACTTGAGCCATGTTACAACGGCAAAACCACGCTACACTCACACCCACGGTGGGACTCGAACCCACAATCTTCTACTTAGGAGGCAGACGCCTTATCCATTAGGCCACGCGGGCGCAACCCGCCATGCTTCCACCCATCGGCCGCCGCCGCCACCGTGGCACCAGTGACGCTACTTCCCATGGCAATACTACATCGTCCGTCTCATCGCTCCCACCATAGGTGCGTCTCTGTGGAGTTGGGAATGTGCCACTTGAATAAAGCCACTCCTGCCTACCGGCATACCTGGCGGCGGTGGAGGAGAAAAGGTGGGATGGTGGTGGGGGGTGTGGTGGTGAGGGGAGGGAGAAGCGCGGCTCAGTGGTCTAGGGGTATGATTCGCGCTTCGGGTGCGCGAGGTCCCGGGTTCAAATCCCGGCTGAGCCCTTTTGCCGGCTGCTCTTGTGCTCTTTGCCCCCCACACTACCACCTCCAACACTCCGCCACTTCGCCTTCTCTTCGCACTGCCACTGCCCTCACTCCTCCTATAGTGTGAGTGCGCGAAAGGCACCTTGACACTGAGCTCACACAAGCCACCGAGTCATCATCATTATCAACTTTGCGTGGCGTTCAGTGCAGTGGGGAGGAGGCGTGATAAGTGGGTGAGGTGGTGAAGGTGGTGAAGGTGGAGTTGGGGAGAATGGCAATTGTATGACTGGGAGAAGGGTCAGTAAGAGGCAGCGTGGCCGAGTGGTCTAAGGCGCTGGTTTTAGGCACCAGTCAGAAATGGCGCGGGTTCGAATCCCGCCGCTGTCATCTCCTTTTCCGCGCACGACTCCTCCCACCTCCCCCTCCTCCCTCGCCGCCCACCCTCACAATTAGTCACTCCACGTTGGCTGGGGTCTTCGCTCTCTCGCACTTGTCTTTCGCTTCCCTCGGTCAGTCTGGAAGCGAGATTTGGAGGCAGTGAAAGTGAGTAGAATGGAAAAGAGTGGAATATGGAAGAGGGGAAGGGAGGTGAGGTGAGTTGAGGCGATGGGAGGTGAGAGGAGGGGGTGTGGAGGGGGTGTGGAGGAGAAGCAGTGCAGATACCTGAGGGTAAGTGTGGAGGAATGAAGACTGGGAGTTGAGTGTAGGGGTGTTGTTGGAGGTGGTAGAGGGGGTTGAAGAATCGTTTGACTTTGGGGTGAGAGCGGCGTAGAAAGAGGTGAGGAAGGAAAGGAGGGAGGGAGGGAGGGAGGGAGGGAGGGAGGAAGGGAGGGAGTGAGGGAGTAAGGAAGTAAAGAAGTAGGTGGGGGGAGAGTAGAGAGGGTGATGTGAGTGTGTGTTAGAAATGAAGTGGAGGCCATAAAAGGCGTTTGCGTGGGCTCAGCCGGGATTTGAACCCGGGACCTCTCGCACCCAAAGCGAGAATCATACCCCTAGACCACTGAGCCGCGCTTCTCCCTCCCCTCACCACCACACCCCCCACCACCATCCCACCTTTTCTCCTCCACCGCCGCCAGGTATGCCGGTAGGCAGGAGTGGCTTTATTCAAGTGGCACATTCCCAACTCCACAGAGACGCACCTATGGTGGGAGCGATGAGACGGACGATGTAGTATTGCCATGGGAAGTAGCGTCACTGGTGCCACGGTGGCGGCGGCGGCCGATGGGTGGAAGCATGGCGGGTTGCGCCCGCGTGGCCTAATGGATAAGGCGTCTGCCTCCTAAGTAGAAGATTGTGGGTTCGAGTCCCACCGTGGGTGTGAGTGTAGCGTGGTTTTGCCGTTGTAACATGGCTCAAGTATTGGCGCCTCCTCCACTCATTGCTAATCATCTCACCGCTCTCAT